CGAATTTCATGAATGGTCGCCCAGACCGCTGCAAAACTTCGTGAACAGCAGCTTCATTCCCTCGAACTTCTTGGAGAGCAATGATGGAGGTGTCGGAGTAGAGGGAGTTGAGGATGGAGAGCTTGCGATCGATGCCCTGGGACAGGTAGTGGCAGAGGGAGAAGCAATTCCAGGACACAAACCGCACTTCAGTAGCATTCATGACCGCGTTACCCATCCCACTCGACAGTGGGACGCAGGAGGAGCTTGACCAGCTTGTCGAGCGGGCCCTTCCCCAACCGCATGTCGGCAAGCTTGGCGCTGTTCCAACGGATCCTCGGAACCTCGACAGGGTCCACGACGATGGATACCAAGGGCTCCCACTGGTGGCTGACAACGCCCGAGTCGCGGTCTCCGTAGAGGCGAGCGCCGAGGTGCTCCGACAGCACGCGCACGACCCTCTTGACGGCCAGCTCCCTGGCCTGTGTGCGACGATTCTTGTCGAGCCCGACGTAGAGCGGGACCGACCGACCAAGAGGGAGCTCGACGGCAAAGCGGCGCCACGTGCCACGGTCGTCCCGCAGTGAACCGAAAGCGTGGCGGATGCGCGAGTCCAGTGTCGCACCCATGTCGCCTTTGAAGCGGAGGACAAAGCGCCGCAAGATGCCAGAGCCCTCCAAATCGCACTGGTCGCCGATGGTGTAACCCGCCTCCTGGAGCCATGGGCCGATGGCGGCCTGGACTGCTCCAAACGGGACCTCCTCTTTGCAGTTGATCGTGGAGATTGCACGGTCGACCTCGCGGTCCCAGTTGGCTGATCGTTCGACGGGTGGCCGAGGACGCGATCGGGCGAGGTCAAGCTGCGACCCGAGGTGGCTGAGCCGCGCGGACAGGGCCACGACACTGTCACCCTGCTCGGTGAGGCGCTCACTGAAATTCTGGAACCTGCGGTCCATCTCCGCCAGACGCGAGTCGAATGACTGCTGGATGCGCTGCAACACAGGTGAGGTGGCCGCATCCACGGCGGAGCCCAAGTGCTTCTCCAGGACCATGGGCAGGGACTTCGCCAAGGCCTCCTTGATCGCCGCATGGGATGCCGCCTTAATTTCAGCCGTCCACATCTCCCGCATACCAGCGAGCTCCGATTGGACAGCGGCGCGTGCAGAGGAGGCAGCCGATGGATCCACTCCAGCAGCAGGCCTCCCCTCGGCAGGAGGGGTCGCCGCGGCAGGCCCAGAATGGGACAGAGCTCCCAATTCACCGTATCCCTGTCCAGCACGATGATGGAGTGGCAGGGTCGACCAGATCTGTGATCCCAAGCTGCCAGCGGCGGCGCCACCGAGGTCCCCCACCAGCTCCTGCGACGGGAACGTGGGAGCAGCAGCCAGCTCCTCCAGGAATGCCATTGTGTCAGGTGCAGCACGTGCGCGGTCTTCAGCGCCAGTGGAGTGCTCGCCGTAGCTGCTGCGAGACCGCTGGCCTGGGGTCGAATCCTGCCCGCGCCGATCACGTCGAGCAGCCCGCGGTGTGTGCAAAGGAGTCGAAGCAGCAGACACGGGAGAAAGCCTGCCAGAGCCATCATCCGAAGGCGAGCGACCCTGCCTCCGTCTGCCAGGGGTGCCGTCACTCTTGACACTCTTCTTGACTTTCCCATCCTTATTTTCCTTATTCTCCTTCTTGTCCTTGTCCTTTTTCTCAGTGCGGTCTGGCATCCGTGGCGGGTGCCCGACTCCCGCAGTGAAGGCGAAACTCTCGAAGCTACGTCGCCAGGGAACGGCTCACGCAGCGGTGCGATGAAAGAAACCGATGTCTAGCCGCGGACTAGCGGTATCCACTTGTTTCCCCTGGGAAACTGAAGCCTTGAGCCAAAATGGCTACGGAGGAGGAGGAGGAGGACGACGAGGAGGAGGAGGAGGAAGAGGAGGAGGAGGAGGAAGAGGAGGAGGAGGAGGGTGGGGGTCCAGGCACGAATCGGGGAGGTGATGCCCCGAAAAAGAGACGAGGGGGATGTGCCGACCACGGCGCGCCACTGCCACAAGGAGTCCCTCGACCCAGATGTACGGTTGAGGGAAAACATTCAGCAACACAGCTCCTCCTCCTCCTCCTCCTCCTCCTCCTCCTCCTCCTCCTTCCTCCTCCTCCTCCTCCTCCTCCTCCCTCCTCCTCCTCTCCTCCTCCTCCTCCTCCTCCTCCTCCTCCTCCTCCTCCTCCTCCTCCTCCTCCTCCTCCCCTCCTCCTCCTCCTCCTCCTCTCCTCCTCCTCCTCCTCCTCCTCCTCCTCCTCCTCCTCCTCCTCCTCCTCCTCCTCCTCCTCCTCCTCCGCCCTCCTCCTCCTCCTCCTCCTCCTCCTCCTCCTTCCTCCTCCTCCTCCTCCTCCTCCTCCTCCTCCTCCTCCTCCTCCTCCTCCTCCTCCTCCTCCTCCTCCTCCTCCTCCTCCCCCTTCTTCTCCTCCTCCTCCTCCACCTCCTCCTTCTTCTCCCTCCTCCTGCTCCTCCACCTCCTCCTTCTCCTCCTCCTTCTCCTCCTCCTCCCCCTCCTCCTCCTCCTCCTCCTCCTCCTCCTCCTCCTCCCCCTCCTCCTCCTCCCCCGTCCCCCCACAATTCAAAGTTGGCACGTATACGCATCACTGGTCCGACACTAAAGCTCGGGAGATCCGAGCCCAACATTGCATTCCGGGGAAGGGAGGGGGGAGTTCACACCATATGTTATGCGCGAATGTTGCTTAATTGTTTCCGACACCTGTAAGGGCAGGCCCGATAAAGAACCCAGAACTGTTCTATTTCAGCGTCCTGGCCGTATTGTAAGACCTTAGCATACGAGATCGAGGCAGGTCCATCATCAAATTGTGGCTGCTCCGGTTCCCACAAGAAGAAGACAAGCATACCGATTGTGAGCATCTGCGCCCAGGATGGAGGATCGAGGAACAGGACAAGGGGATCGAGGACAAGCCTGTGGCCGCCGAGCTTAAAGACGAGCGGGAGGAGGAGACCGAGGTTCTCCGGGACTCGGGTCCAACGTGGGTCGGAATCCAAACTTCCAAAACATGACGGGCGATAGCTCCGTGGGGGCCGTCCTCGGACCGTCTTCAGCGCCTCTTTGTCTGTCTTGGAATCCCCAGGAGCCGGTCCACGAGGCAACAATATTTGAACATCTTTCGATGTTCGTGCGACGGTGGCAGGACAGCGTGCAGACCTTCTAGCCGCAAGGTAAGCGTCCCCAACGGTTAAAAAAAAAGTGTCATGCCAATATCCGGCGCTAGCCTTTCAAGGGGGGGCGCTTCTTGTGGTGAAGAGGAAAGCCCGCAGGGACGTTTGAGGAGCGGGCTTGGGATTGGAGCGTGTATTGCAGCACCGCTGATGGATGTTGGGGTTACTCTTGTGGATACCACGACAATGGACACCGTAACGGACGGTCCGATCATTGAATTGAAAATGTGTTCAAACTGTCGGAAACATGTTCTAAACATGCTTTAAACATGTGTTTTACATGTTTTGAACCTGTTTAACACATGTTTTAGACATCTGGAAATGATTTGGCAACATGCTTCCTCTCCATTGATCGTCCTCCACAGAATTACTCTGGTCCTCCTCCTCCTCCTCTCGCTCCGTAACTTTTCCTGATACGTAGCTGCTCCTTGTCCCACCCCCAGGCGCATTCGTAGGCCAGGCCTGGCGTTTCGCCTTGGACTTCTTTCGCTCATGACCCCGAATCTTGAAATGTTGCAGCAACTTCGGCAGTGGGCAAACCTCCCTTTAGCAAACCTCCCCTTAGTGAACACGGCCTGGGACCGAAACCGACGGACCTGGACCTGGCAAGATGACGGCCGCGACGCCCTCTCGCGAACTGAAAACGGCCAATTCCTTAATCGACGTGTCAGGGTAGGAGGTCTATCCACCTCCAACAACTTCAAGGATGAAGGGAGGGGGTCAAAAGGTGGCTCTCGCTTTCGCGCCGCGCACGTTCGTCTCAAAACTTGGCGCCATTTTCCCGGGCGGAGGCTGGCTCCTCTTCAATCTTGGGACTGGCATTCTGGCACGATGCAGGAATGTCAGGGCGCAACAATGTCGTGGATTCGCGGTGTTGAAACCGAAGGAGGGGCGTTCTGGAACGGTTCTGGATTGCCAGGACGCATCAGTTAGCTTATTCGCGGCGTTGAAGTCCCAGGAACTGCGTTCTGGCACGGCTTGGAAGTTTGAACAATTTCGGAAAATGAAGGGTGACCGAATCCGACCAAACTCATGATGTAACACTTTTGTTTTATAGTATGTTTCTGGTCCTGGCGAGGCATCTCTCCTTTGGGGGAGAATTCTTGTAGGGACCTGGGACCTATGAAGAAGAACTTGGAGGGAGGGAGTATTGCGCATCTTGGGTTTACATAGGTCCTCGTCCTCCTCCTCCTCCTCCTCCTCCTCCTCCTCCTCCTCCTCCTCCCCTTCCCCTCCCCTCCTTCCCCCTTCCCGCGCTCCCTCCTGCGCCCTCCTGCACCCTCCTGTCCCATTCCGCTCTCTCCCTCACCCCTCTGCGTTCTGGCACGGCTTTGGAATTTTGGATAATTTCGGAAAGTGAAGGGTGACCGAATCTGGCCAAAATTATGAAAAGTCGAAAGTCGAAAGTGGAAACGGAAGCGACTCTGGAAGCGGAAAGCCGAGCCAGCCACAATCCGAAGGAAATGCTCTGCTCAAGACTGCCGCTGGGGAGGGGGAAGGTGAGAGAAAGGATGGGTTGTTCGGAGGTGCGGTAAGGAAGTAAGAGGGAGGCGGGACACGCCTGCCTGACCTCCTCGATGCTGGCCTTGCCCAGCAGCTCGAGGGAGGAGGAGGAGGAGGAGGAGGAGGAGGAGGAGGAGAGGAGGAGGAGGAGGATGAGGAGGAGGAGAGGAGGAGGAGGAGGAGGAGGAGGAGGAGGAAGGAGGAGGAGGAGGAGGAAGGAGGGAGGAGGATGACCCCCCCGCCTCCCTCCTCCCTCCTCCCTCCTTCCCCCCCTCCCCCCCCCCTCCCTCCCCCCCTCCCTCCCTCCTCGGACAGCGGCGTCTCGCCCATCTGCAGCTCGAAGTTCCCGGACCCCGCGATCTGCGGCAGCCCCGCGGGGGCGTCCACCTCCGATCCGCGACGACGCCGCCGACGCCGACGCCGACGCCCACGCCGACGACGGCGGCGGCCTCTCGCAGGGAAACGGGCGCCCTGGGACCGCCTCGGGCCCCCCCCCCGCTGCTCCCGAAGACGCCCGGGAATGTCCCAAGCCTCGTCGATCCTCGATCCTCGATCCTCGATCCTTCTCCTCCTCGATCCTCGATGATTCTCCTCGATGCGCGATAAGGATGCAAGGGCCTCGTCGATCCTCGATCCTTTTCTCCTCCTCGACCCCTGACTTCCAGGAGCCCCGATATCCGCCGACGTGATGCTTGGGTCCGCGGCCCCAGAGGTCCAGACTGCTTCATCAGGGACACAGTCAGCCCGTATAGTAAGGATGTGCGATAAGGACGCAAGGGTCTTGGACGCCCATTTCGAGGCGTTTCGAGCGGGGCGCGGCCAACGAAAGTGGCCAAGGCTGGACCGCTGGAGCGAGGAGGCAAGGATGCAAGGGTACCCTTGGGAAGGTTGCCTATGCTTTCTATGCGGGTTGACTGTACATAGTTCTTCGTCGGCCCCACAAATGGCCTCCGAGAGACGAAATCGTTGAAAAATGGCCGCGAACAAAAATCATGCAGTCGGAGATTTCGGAGGAGTTGGTGCCCCTATCTGTGCCGCGCCCAAGGGGAAGTGAGAAAGGGGCAGGCCTAGGCCTTCTCAGAAGGCGGCGGGGCTTCTAAGAAGCCGTCCGGCCTTGCAGAAGCCGTCTCTGTCTTCGAACAAGGCTTAGGAAACCTCTCAGAAGGCAGGAGGCCTTCCGAGCCTTCTGAGAAGGCCCGCTCCCTCTCGGACGCATGGTGGTGTTTGGGTCATACATAGCTCGGCTCTCCGATGACGTTCGGGACGATCCAAGCACCCCCGGAACGCTTTCGGCGATGCCCAGCCGCTGGAACGCACCCCGAGGCTGGAAAATCACCGAGAACCCACGAAAACGTCCGAGAGCCTCGAGCGTCGATTTATCCTCCCCAGGCTCGCCGCCGATAGCCCTTGTTGGCGCTGGGCCAGCCGTCGACCCCCAGTGGTGACACCCCCTTGGCACTGCCCGACCTCCGCGCCCTTCGCCCCGATCACCGTCGGCGCCTCGCTGGGCGCCCCGCCCGCCGGCGCCGCGGCCGCGCCGACCTCCAGCGATCGCCGCCGCCGCCGCCGACTTCGACGCAGCCGCCGCCGACGACGACGGCGACGACGACGCCGACGCCGCCGCCGACGCCGCCGCCGACGCAGCCGCCGCCGACGGCGACGACGACGACGACGACGCAGCCGCCGACAACGGCGACGACGACGCCGACGCCGACGCAGGTGCCGCCGCCAGTGACGGCGAGACGACGACGACGACGACGACGCCGACGCAGGTGCGGCCGCTGGTGCCGCCGCCGCCGCCGACTTCGACGCAGCCGCCGCCGACGACGACGGCGACGACGACGCCGACGCCGCCGCCGACGCCGCCGCCGACGCAGCCGCCGCCGACGGCGACGACGACGACGACGACGACGCAGCCGCCGACAACGGCGACGACGACGCCGACGCCGACGCAGGTGCCGCCGCCAGTGACGGCGAGACGACGACGACGACGACGACGCCGACGCAGGTGCGGCCGCTGGTGCCGCCGCCGCCGCCGACTTCGACGCAGCCGCCGCCGACGACGACGGCGACGACGACGCCGACGCCCGCCGACCGACCGCCGCCCGCCGACGCATCCGCCGCCGTCGTCGACGACGACGGACGACGAACGACCGCAGCCAGCCGTGCAACGGCGAACGACTACGGCCGACGCCGACGCATTTGCCGCCCGCATTGCGCAGACGACGACGACGACTACTAACAAAGCCGACGCAGGTGCGCCGGATCTGGGTGCCGACGCCGCCGCCGACTTTTCGACCCAACCGTCCTCCGACACGACGGCACTGTCCGACGTCCGACCGCCGCGCCGACGCCGCCGCCGATCGCAGCCGACCGCCGACGGCGACGAGACGAACGACGACACCGACGCAGCCGCCGACAACCGGCGCCGGACGTACGCCGAGGACGCCGCAGTGCCGCCGCCAGTACGGCGAGACGACTACGACTACGCGAACTCGACTGCAGTGCGCCGCGGCTGTGTCCGCCGCGCCGCCGACTTCGACGCAGCCGCCGTCCGGCGACGAAGCGACGGACTACGCCGACGCCGCCGCCGACGCCGCCCCCGAGCGCTCCGCCGCGACGGGGTACGACGACGACGACGACGACCTAGCCGCGCTAAACGCGGACGACGACAGCCGACGCCGCTCAGTGCCGCCGCCATTGACGGCGAGACGACGACGACGACGCAGACGCAGGTGCGGCGTGGTGGCCTTTCCCGCCGCGCCGACTCGACTCCAGCCGCAGCCGAACGACGACGCGACGACGCGCCGACGCCGCCGCCGACCAACGGCGACGACTACCGCGGCCGACGCCGACGCAGGTGCCGCCGCCAGTGACGGCGAGACGACGACGACGACGACGACGACGACGACGCCGACGCAGGTGCGGCCGCTGGTGACGACGACGGCGCCGACGCCGACGCAGCCGCCGCCAACAACGACGGCGACGACGACGCCGACGCCGCCGCCGACGCAGCCGCCGCCGACGGCGACGACGACGACGACGACGACGCAGCCGCCGACAACGGCGACGACGACGCCGACGCCAACGCAGGTGCCGCCGCCAGTGACGGCGAGACGACGACAACGACGACGCCGACGCAGGTGCGGCCGCTGGTGACGACGACGGCGCCGACGCCGACGCAGCCGCCGCCGACAACGACGGCGACGACGACGCCGACGCCGACGCCGACGCCGCCGCCGACGCAGCCGCCGCCGACGCAGCCGCCGCCAGTGACGACGACGACGACGACGACGACGACGCAGCCGCCGACGACGACGACGACGACGCCGACGCCGACGCAGTCCCCGCCCCAGTGACCGGGGGGGGGGGGGGGGGGGGGGGGGGGGGGGGGGGGGCGAGACGACGACGACGCCGACGCAGTGGCCGCTGACGTCGACGGCGCCGACGACGACGAGCCTCCGACACACAACACGACGAGGGCGCCGCCAGTGACGACGACGACGACGACGACGACGACGACGCAGCCCCGACGACGACGACGAACGCCGACGCATGTGCCGCGGCCAAGACCCGACGACGCAGATCGCGCCGCCGACGACGCCGCGCCAACGCCAACCGACGACGACGACGACGAAAGACGACGACCGACGAACGCGACGACGAAGAACGACGACGACGACGCACCGCCCAGCCTGACGACACGACGACGAAGCCTCCCGACAAACGGCCGACGACGACCGAAGACGCCGACGCGGGTGGCCGCCAGGTGTGACGACGACGACGATGACCAGAGACACTAACGACCGACAACCCACCGTAACCGACGACGACGACCACCCCGACGCCCCGACCCAGGTGCCGTCCGCCTGAGACGACGACGACGACGACGACGACGACGACGACGACGACGACGACGACGACGACGACGGCGACGCCGACGCAGGTGCCGCCGCCAGTGACGACGACGACAACGACGACGCAGCCGCCGACGACGACGACGACGACGACGACGCCGACGCAGGTGCCGACGCCAGTGACGACGACGACGACGCGGCCGCCGACGACGACGACGACGCAGCCGCCGCCGACGACGACGACGCCGATGCCAACGACGACGACGACGCCGACGTCGACGCAGGTGCCGCCGCCAGAGACGACGACGACGACGACGACGCAGGGGCCGCCGCCTGTGGTGACGACGACGACGCCGACGCCGACAACGACGCCGACGACGCCGACGCCGACGCAGGTGCCACCGCCAGTGACGACGACGACGACGACGACGACGACGACGACGACGACACCAACGCCTACGCCGACGACGACGCCGCCGACTCAGCCGCCGACGACAACGACGCCGACGCCCACGCAGGTGCCGCCGTCAGTGACGACGACGACGACGACGACGACGACGACGACGACGACGACGACGACGACGACGACACCGACGACGACGACGATGACGCCGACGCCGCCGCCAGTGACGACGACGCAGCGGCCGACGACGGCGACGCCGACGCCGCCGCCGGTGACGACGACGACGGCGACGCCGACGCAGGTGCCCCCGCCAGTGACGACGACGACAATGACGACGCAGCCGCCGACGACGACGACGACGACGCCGACGCCGACGCAGCCGCCGAAGGTGACGACGACCACGACGCCGACGACGCCGACGACGACGGCCACGACGGCGCACACGCGGACGACGACGACGACGACGCCGACGCCGACGCAGGTGCCGCCGCCAGTGACGACGACGACGACGACGCCGAAGCAGACGCCGACGCATTCACCGACGACGACGCAGCCGACGGCGCAGCCGACAACGAGGACGACGCAGCCACCGACGACGACGACGACGACGACGACGACGCCAACGCCTACGCCGACGCCGACGACGGCGACGCAGCCGCCGACGACGGCTACGACGTTGCAGCCGCCGACAACGCCGACGCCGACGCAGCCGCCGCCGACGACAACGACGGCGACGACGACGACGACGACGCCGACGCCGAAGCCAGTGCCGCCGCCGGTGACGACGACGACGCCGACGCCGACGCTAACGCAAGTGCCGCCGACGACGACGACGACGACGACGCAGCCGCCGACGACGGCTACGACGTTGCAGCCGCCGACAACGACGACGACGACGCAGCCGCCGCCGACGACAACGACGGCGACGACGACGACGACGCCGACGCCGAAGCCAGTGCCGCCGCCGGTGACGACGACGACGCCGACGCCGACGCTGACGAAAGTGCCGCCGACGACGACGACAACGACGACGCAGCCGCCGACGACGGCTACGACGACGCAGCCGCCCACAACGACGACGACGACGCAGCCGCCGCCGACGACAACGACGGCGACGACGACGGCGACGGCGACGCTGACGCAGGTGCCGCCGACGGCGACGACGACGACGACGACGACGACGACGCCGACGCCGACGCCGACGCAAGTGCCGCCGCCGGTGACGACGACGACGCCGACGCTGACGCAGGTGCCGCCGACGACGACGACGACGACGACGACGACGACGCAGCCGCCGACGACGACAACGACGACGAGGCAGCCGCCGACGCAGCGACCGACGACGCCGACGACGACGAAAAACTGCCACATGGTGCCACCGGCGGTGACGACGACGACGACGACGACACCGACGCCGACGCAGGTGCCACCGCTGGTGACGACGACGACGACGACGACGACGCAGCCGCCGACGACGACGAATCCTGCATTCCGCCGACGAACGACGACGACGACGAACGACACGACGCAGCCGCCGACGACGATTAACACCGGCGACGACGTCGACGACGCCGAACCCGAAGCCGGTGCCCTGCCGCCAGTGCGACACGACGACGCCGACGACGACGACGACGACAAACGACGACGACGACGAACGACGACGCAGCCGCCCGACGACGACGACGCAGCCGCCGACTGACGAAACGCCTCCAACGACGACGACGACTACGACGCAGCCGCCGACGAACGACGACGACGACCGAACGACCGCAGCTCACGAGCGAACGAGAACGACGAAGACAACAACCGACGACGACGCTAGGCCGCCCCGACGCAACCGCCTAGTCCGCCGCCGTGACGTCGACGACGACGCCCCACGCCGACGCAGGTGCGACGCCGTGACGACGCGACGACGAATGAGCGACACCACGAAAGCGCCGCCGCCAATCACACGACGACGCAGCCGCCGCCGACACGACGACGGACGACGACGACGACGAACGCAACCCCTACGACACAACACGACGCCGACGCCGAACGACGACGACGACCACGTACGAAAAGGCCGCCGACGACGACTCCGGCCGGGCGACGACGACGACGACGTCGAGCGCCGCCCAAGGGGACGATACGATACCGACGACGACGACAACAACGACGACGCCGACGCAGGTGGCGCCGCCAGTGACGACGACGACGACGACGACGACGACAACGCAGCCGCAGACGACGACGACGACGACGACGACGACTGCGACGACGACGACGCAACTGCCGACGCAGGGACG